GGTGTACCTAATAAAGTGGCCGGTGAGTGTATATGAGTTTGTATGTAATGTATGAATATAATATACAAGTTTCACTTTTTAAATGGAATTACTGAAATAAATCTACTTTTTCATGATATTCTAATTTTATGACCAGCACCTGTATATCCAACATGCAAAACTCCATCCAGAAAGGCCCCAGGCTGGGAGGTGAACCTATGATCTTTTCACTGAGAGGCGACAGCTCCGCTGTACCAACTAATACCTTCAATGCATTCCCTAAATTTTATTCAGTATCTACATAAAATAGATTGATGCAAAAGAAAAAAAAACAAACTAAAACTCACCTACCAAATTTAAAAATGAAACACCTTTTGTGACTTTTTGACACATTAGTTCTCCCGTCTCTCGTGCACTCCCATGTGTTACTGATTACTTGTGCAATAACCTGCTACACAACCTGTGCAATATATGTTAAGTGAAATCTATACCATGTGCAACCCAATCCTAATATAATCAATATTACCACATGTGAAATACTCTACTTAGACTGTATTTACTCTGCCTCTGTTAAATTTTAATGTATTTTTTGTAACTATTTAAATTTTAAATTTTTTATTTTGTGCTTSTATTGCATGCCATTATTACTTCCTGCCTTTTTTTTAAGAGTTGGACGTTTTTTTCTAATCCTAAGAATTTCATTGCATTGTGACTTGTGTTAACCTGCTTATGACAGTCAACAATCCTGAGTTCTGTACTGATAACCATGCTGAAATACATTTAAGTGTAAACAAAATACTTTTTTCACTTTGTCTTTCCTTTTTTTCCTTCAGGATGGGGTACAGCATGCTCATGCATTTATCTACAGCCCTGAAGCTTGTCGTTTCTGTGACGTTGAACAGAACCTTGATGGTAATCTCTCACATTCACAGAGACAAAGATAGTGAAAAATCTATTTGCATGCTTGCTTTTAGTTCTTGGAGAAAGGTAAAACCACCTCATCTGCTTCTATACACCATGCTTGTACAGCTCAAGTTCATTTAAGCTACACAGGTTCTTTGGTTTAGACTAACATTCGGTCCAGTATCTKAGGTAAACTCRWGGAAATTTCCTCTAACTCTGCAGTTTGAATGCATGTATAACATGAGGGAACACACACTATTGTTTTTCTTTGTGCTTTATTCTAAGACTTCTTATTAAAGTCAACTGCAGTTTGGTCGTGACACAATGTCATCCACAGGTTTACAACTAAACCTTTAACTTAGCTTCTTTTCACAGTTTAATTTGAGCCTGTTTTAAAACGTTGAATTCTCAATGCTTCCTCACTGGCTCTGCACTCCACACACAGGTCCTCCTGTGCTTCACAGCGGAGTGAAGGACATGAAGGTGTTAAAAACCACCCAGTCTGGCTTTGAGGGGTTTCTCCGCGACCGCTTCACAACACTGCAAGCCACCAAGGACAGGTGTTTCTGCACCACTGTCTATTCCAGGTGGCGCTACAACAAGACCCAGGATGTTGACTTTGATGCTGCRTGGTAAATATCAGTGAAAACAACTTTCACCACTCTAAACTTCACTAAACATCTTATATCAGTATGATTTGTGCATGAAAAGGGTGCACAAAACAGAATATTCCTTCATTCGGTTGCAGACTCATGTGTTTGTCACTATTTTAGGAAGTGTGTGAGGGATACGGTTATCGAGAAGTTTGCTGGCCCCTATCACTGTGGAGAGTACTCTCCATCTGTGCAGAAGACTCTCTATGAAACTCAGGTTCTGGTTCTGGACAGAATTCCTGAGGTAGGTCAATTATTACACAAGACACAACCTAAATATCTAATATAATCATAAACTGTGTATTGGGTAGATTCTGTCTCATTCGTCATATTTTCCCCATTTTTAAATGTGGAGAATCATTACAAATATTTAACGTGTAGTTGTATTATCTTCTGTCAAGCTGGACTCAACATATTATATTTTATTTAGGTGGAAGAAATCGAGATCGTCATGCCCAACCAGCATTACTTCACCATAGACATGACAAAAATGGGTATTGCCAACAAAGATGAGGTAAATTTTTGTTTTAATCTAAAAATTTGCAGGTTATTTGGAGATGAAATTGATTTTTAATATATATCTATATATATTTTTTATTAGGTCCTTCTTCCTCTGGATAATCCCTCTGGAAACATCACAGGGACGGTGTGTCGGAAACAGAGAGCCCGACTTTAAAAGCCACATCACAACCTGAAAGTACTGAAGCTGTCCTCAGATATTTACCTAAATGAGCTAATTAAAAAAAAGATCAATGATTAAATGTGGATTATTACGTTCTGAAAACAGTGACCCTCAAGACTTGCCAAACATGACTACATCTGACCTTGTCATGTACATGCTGCCAATCATAATGTACTACAATTGCTCTGATAAGGAAATAATACGCAAGATTTTGTTGCATTTATTTAGACCCAGTGCTACGATCAATTTAAGCGTTTAATACGGTTACACTTTTGTGTAAAGTCTTCTCCAGCATCAAGTCTTTTAGTACAGTCAGGTACAATTATTTGTGACACGTTTTCATTGCTGTAGAGTCCAATCTTTATGTTCCTCAGCCAATCAGAGCCTTTCACACCAGCTTTAGCTCTTTTATCCTGAGTTCTAAACCACATTAAACATGTGGAAATGCTACTACTTTCAGTAATAAACATTACAATGAGTTCTAATGTTGTATTCCTTCAACTGCGTTTCACCAAACACTAGGGCAGGGCTCAGGTGCGGGGGTGGGAGGGGTTGTCCATTAATTGTAGATGAACTGACTGACTTTTACATTTTAAATTTATCTGTTGAATTGAATCATATTAGTTTTAAATGTATTTTTATATTCAATTTAAAAATTGTTAAAAAAACAAACAAAAAAGTTTTTTTTGGGGGGGGGGTCTGACTGGGTCTGACAGGCCAGACAGAAGTCACCCCACAGGCTGGATGTGACCCGCGGGCCACCAGTTGAACAGCCCTAACCTAGGGCGTCTCCAAGTCTTTCAAGATTTTCTTTTTTCATTCTTCCTCCAAAGATTCCCCTTGTTCTTCCAGTTTTTGACCTACTTTACAGTTCCTAGTTAAATTAAATAGCTTTTATAATCTGTGGATACAAATAAACTGGACCTGTGCTGCAGTATTCTCTTAACAGACATGAGGATTAAACCAAAATGTCAAATAAAAAATCAAACTGACATCCTTTGGTGAGAAAGGAGCACCGTTTATCACAAAGCTCAAATCCTGATATCCAAACTCCAGTGTTATGTTACACACACACGTTGGTCATTTACACTTCAGTACAATTCTCTGTGCAACAAAGCTGAAAGCACCACAGGTAGGTACATATGAACAATATTTACACAATTTTATATCAAAAGCCTCGAGCTCAGTAATGCAACATCAGAGGCTTTTCATTTAGGTTCTTGTGCCTGGGAAAACAAAACGCTTTCGTTGTTACGTGCTCAGGACAACTCATGGACTCAGATGTGCAGTTTAGAACAAATAGGATGGATTTAGGGAAAAATCAACGCAAATAACTTTCTGCGTRTATCAAAAAAGTTAATTCATGACAGAACATACTGAATTTTCAACTATATATCATTTCTTATACAAATACTCTTAAAAAACATCTTAGGTTATTTGACTTTACACACACACACACACACACACACACACACACACACACACACACACACACACAC